GCAGGCGCTCAGCGCGCCTCTGGAGGCAGCTGGCGCCTCAGCGCGCCTCTGGAGGCAGCAGGCGCCTCAGCGCGCCTCTGGAGGCAGCAGGCGCCTCAGCGCGCCTCTGGAGGCAGCTGGGGCCTCAGCGCGCCTCTGCAGGCAGCTGGCGCCTCAGCGCGTCTCTGGAGGCAGCTGGCGCCTCAGCGCGCCTCTGCAGGCAGCTGGCGCCTCAGCGCGCCTCTGGAGGCAGCTGGCGCCTCAGCGCGCCTCTGGAGGCAGCAGGCGCCTCAACGCGCCTCTGGAGGCAGCTGGCGCCTCAGCGCGCCTCTGGAGCAGCAGGCGCCTCACGCGCCTCTGGGGCAGCAGGCGCCTCAGCGCGCCTCTGGAGGCAGCTGGCGCCTCAGCACGCCTCTGCAGGCCGCTGGCGCCTCAGCGCGTCTCTGGAGGCAGCTGGCGCCTCAGCGCGCCTCTGCAGGCAGCTGGCGCCTCAGCGCGCTCTGGAGGCAGCTGGCGCCTCAGCGCGCCTCTGGAGGCAGCAGGCGCCTCAACGCGCCTCTGGAGGCAGCTGGCGCCTCAGCGCGCCTCTGGAGGCAGCTGGCGGCCTCAGCGCGCCTCTGCAGGCAGCTGGCGCCTCAGCGCGCCTCTGGAGGCAGCTGGCGCCTCAGCGCGCATCTGCAGGCAGCTGCGCCTCAGCGCGCCTCTGGAGGCAGCTGGGCGCCTCGCGCGCCTCTGCAGGCAGCTTGGCGCCTCAGCGCGCCTCTGGAAGCAGCTGGCGGCCCTCAGCGCGCCTCTGGAAGGCAGCTGGCGCCTCAGCGCGCCTCTGCAGGCAGCCGACTGTTGTCAGGGTCCGACCAGGCGGTCGGCCCCGACGAGTGGGCAAGCCGGCGCGGCCGCCATTTCCCCGGCCAGCCATCTGTCGGCTGATTGGCCGGCGGTGAGAGTGAGAGGAGAGCTTGCGGGCGTCGGCGGCCGCTGACGTCAGACGATCAGATGTCCTGCACCGCTGGGCGGGGGAGGGGGGGGAACGGAACGAGACAAAAGGACCTGTCCCCTGGAGGAAGATGAGAGGAACGAGGAGCGCAGAAACTGAACCCTGAGTGGAGATGAGATGAGATAGATGACAAAAACCAAGACGGTCGATGACGGACAACGCACCAAATGAGGAGAGTTGACGCTATTGAGGCCTTGGCGGCGCGACGTTTCCTGCCTGCGTGATCGGCTCTCGTGCCCATGTCTTCAGGGCCAGCCCGTTACATCATCACGTCACAGGGCGCACTACGCGGCGCAGCACCGTCGGCAGCGGCCCACCCTACATCGTCGACCGTCGCCTCCGCCCCCGCCCCGATCGGAAACGCCGCCCTTCCTGTGTGGCTCGCGTTCCGCGACATTAGTGCCATCTGTTGTCCGCGGGCGGAGCTAATCGCCGGACACTGGGGCAACGGCCGGTCACGGCACGGGCCATTGCATTGTCACTGGGCACTGGTCGTCGGGAATGCAGCAACGTGGGCCGCTGTCAGCGAGGGCCATTTGCGCAGTGGCGCAACAGGTGCACAGCAACAGCGCACGCCAACAAGCCGCTCAATTAGTGCTTTTCTGACAGGTGGGGTACGAATGGCACGTGCCGATGGCTGAGGAGCGGGGTTATTTAGTTGCGGCGCATTCGACGTGGAACCCTGAACAGGCCAAGCCCGGCGCCAGCGGCGCCCGAGGGACCGGGACAGGCCAGGGCCGGCTCCTGGGATGACCGAGGACCCAGACAGGCCGGGGCGGGCCCCAGCGGCGGCCGAGGGACGCAGGGCAGGCTCCAGCTGGTGACTGTTGCCGACCGCGACAAACTGAGGAGCAGCCACCAGTCACCCAGCG